ACCTGTAATTAAATTAAATTAAATTTTAAGTGGCTGAGTTAGAATTGTAAGGCCTAAGTCACTTTGCCCTAATTGGAAGATTAGAAAATGGAGGATTCAACTGGCTAATGTCTAACTTATTTCCATGGAATTATTAGATGATAAGCTTAAAATTAGGATCACGTGAAGTCAACCAAATTATATATATATATAAAACATATATTTGATATATTTTAATTATCACGGATTGGGTTTGACAATATATTTAAGATTCTGTTTTCCCTAGCCGTGGCAATAAAGTTAAATCAACAAAGAAATTCTAGAAGCTCATGCGTGAACATTAACTCTCCATTATTATTTGTTGAGAATTAATCTAAAATGAACCAGTCCAGTTTGTTGTAGAAAAGAATAAGTTTGTAAGTTTTCATTAAAAAAAAACAAGTAATATTTTTATTTTAACAATAATTAATTCATTTATTAACAACTCTAAAATATTAATTTGATAGAGAGAAATTATTGTAATTTAAAAAACAAATTTCTATTTGAGAAAAAAAAAGCCTTGTTTTCACTTTAATCACTATTAATTCTCCTATCACAACACATATATAAAAGGGATGATTTCAACTTTTCACAACAAATTTTAATTAAATTTAAGTTTTTTTATCCTGTAAAATAATAATAAAATTATTTAATCTTGTAGAGTAATTAATTATATGTAATGGTTCTTGATTGTAATTTTCTCTTCATATAATGTTATAATAATTCTCCCCTTTTTACGACAAAAGTAAACAGTTTGCCGATAACCCAGAGAACAATCTATGTGACATTTGAAAAGCATGCCTGTATAAGCTGACCCGAAAAATAGGCTCTGAATGTAATAGGGTAGTAAAATTATAGCCAGCAATGTTCTATAATCAATAAAAATCAACTGCATTTAAAAAATACATGTGTAACTATGATCAAGTAAAAACTTCCAATAATTTATAAAGAACAAGAATATTTGAAAAGTAAATGTGTACTTGTGATAATGTAGAATAAAGTGAGCAAGAGGCCAGATACACGCATCAAGCTCAAGGAACGAAATTAAAAAAAGAAAAGAACAAGAAGCAAGAAAAGCTACAACATGAATGGCTGTGATGAATTAGTAATAAATTATCTTACAACCATTCCTTAAAATAAAAAATTCAAACATATTTCGTCCTTCATATTGCCGAAGGAAAATGTCAACCATTTGAACATTGTTATTGGTTAAAAAGTGGGCAGCTACTACAAAAAATGAGAGAGTATATCAACCACCTTTCTTTATCTCCCAAACTTGGCCATTTCTTTTCCATGAACACCGCTTTTAACAGTGTGTTCGGTAAACAATCTTGAAATTTTGGTACTATAAACTGGAATAAGTAGAACAGTTTATTGGACACTACACAACAATGTCACTAATTTTGATCTTAAAAGGCTATGTCAATGCCCAAAAAATTACTATATGCTAGAATCATCATATAACTAACGTTATGGATAAGATGTTCCAAATTAGACAATATAGGTAACTTCTGCTTATTGCTATGCGTAGGTTCTGAGGCAGATAATACCACTTTTAAATGGTGAAGGAGAAACTAAAATATCTACAAGAGCTATATAGTCAAATATTTGCAAGAATAAAATTTTCTTCTACAGGAAAATAACAAGAAACGGATCCCTTCAGTTTCCTGATACGAAATTAATGTAATCCATAATCTTTCTGTCTTATCTTTGTCTTCTTTCATTTCTCCTTCACAAAAGGACTATTTTTTGTTTCAACCTGTGCCAATATGACTTGACCTTGTGGAAATACTGATGACAACTGAAATTAGTAAGTAATCAAGTACTGCTTGTACTTGTAAGTTGAGTGATGCTTACAAGTTCAGCCTTGTCTAATACTCCTTTCGATTTTATTTATAAGTTATTTTTACTAACTTTATTAATATCAATATAATAAAAGTACAAAGAATAAAAGTAAGTGAAATTTCAAGCATAACCCTCAACTAAAAAGTAAAAAATAAGTGAATCATATTATATTATTTTTTTTGTCTTTCTTTTTCTTACTTTTTAGGGGTAATTTAGAGATTTTAATTTGAAACAAAACAATCCCATCAATAAATGACTTATAAAGTGAACTAGATTATGCTTCTAGAAAGTAATTTATACATTGGACTGGAGGAGTATATTCAAGCTAAATATTCTTTCAATTCATATCATTGTTTTAAAAATTTGACCTGCACGATTAGACTGATTGGACCATCAATGGAAGTTGTTAACAGCTTCGTTTTGACTAAAACAATGTTTTCAAGATTGAGCTAAATTTGATTAGAGTTGAGCCACTATTAAACTGAAAACCAGAGCTTAATTGAGAACCAAAGTGGTTTTTCAAGAATTAGACGGTTTTAAAAATAATATTTAAAAAGATTAAACAATAAAAAAAATTTAAAAATTAACTCCTTACTAAAATTTAACTTTATTTTTGAATAATTCACATGTATAAAATATGATTTAATTTTTTATAAAGATATTGATAGTTATAGATGCAAATATAAATATTTTTGAAGCTACTAATATTTAATTTAATTAAAATTCACTTATATTTAACAAATTATAAAATTATAATTTATAATATTATTAATTTACGATCATGTTATGTCAATTGATTAACAAGGCATATTGTAGATTTGCTTCTTATATTTATTATATATATATATATATATATATTTAATATTTTTTTATTTAATTATTATATTACCGAGCTAATAATTAGTCTAACCAATCAAATTATAAAAGTCAAAAATCACTAATTTTTTTAGTTCAACATTCAATTTGACTTTCAAAACATTGATTTATACATATATCAGCTTAAATTTTCACTTCCCTTTGAGTTGTGACAAATCAAAATTTTAATTGAAAGAAAGATACAATATGTGGAGAGAGCCTAGATAACAAAAGAACTAGATTCTCTTCCATCACCCTTCCATGTGAGGAAGAAAGAAACATGAGGTGTATGGCCCACACGTGTGGCTCACATAAATAAGTCTCACTGGATCCCCTCCCGTGCTCTTTCTATCTACAACAAGCCCTCTGATGCAATGTTGTAAGTCCAAAGCCCCTCATGATCAATTCCGGGAGAGGGGGAGAGGAGAGAGGCTTACTGGACCACGAAGACAAGTGAACACCAACTCTAGATCCCTCAACATTTCGAAGCACAATTTGGAATTAAATATCAAAAAACAAACTTATTTAATTGAGAGGACTATTTCCTTTTCCTTTTCTTTTTTTTTGGACTTAAAGATTTGATTGGCTACTCGAGCTAATTTTCCTTCAAGTTGTACTTGCCTTATCATCCAAAGAAAGGACTGTTTCTTAAAACATAAAGAGAAAATGACAAGACAATATCTTTAAAATATATAAATGACAATTACAAATTATAAAATATGATCATTATTATTTAATCTTTAAAGGCTTATCAGACATCTGTATTTTTGACAAAATAATATATTTGCCTTTAGTAACTACTATAAAAAAAAAAACTAGTTGGGTTATATTATTAACTAAAACATAATATAAAAAATGGCTACTTTTTGCAAATTTATTTACCAATGCAATGCAAATAAATAAGTCATTTTTAGGGGAAAAAAAGTTGTCGCATTCTAATTCGATTATGAATCACAAATTTGCAGAAAGAACATAATTATTTTTATTTTATTTTAATCAATAATGGCACCAATCGTTTTCTAATAGTCATTTCCTATAATAGTTACTCTCTCTTTCTCAACTTCACTGAGTACTTAATTTATTGCTTCAAGAAAATGGTGTTGATAATCTCAATTCAACATTGAAAAGACAGGTTCATGTGTGCCACTCTTGACTCTTATTTACTACCAAATGTTTTTCCTTCAGCGGCCATACCCAATCCATCCTTCCCATTTTTTGTTTCCAGATTTCTTCCTTTGGATTTCTGTTTCCAATTTCTAGCGATGCTAAAAACCTAACAAAGGCCCATCACAACCAACCTTCATGCTCTGTCCCACTCAATGGTGCTTCGTTGGTTACAGAATTTCTAGCGATGCTAAAAACCTAATCAAGGCTCATCACAACCAACCTTCATCCTCTGTCCCACTCAATGGTGCTTCGTTGGTTACAGCTACAGCCATTCTTCCTCCAGTCAATCTAATATGGTCAAACCAGTTCAGGTTGATTCACTGGTTTACCAGCTAAACCCAATCCATGTAAGTCCCGTTTTTGGGTCGTTTCTATGGAGCCTCTAGGGTAGGAATCTAGATTATAATCAGTAAATTATTACCAATTTCAATCTTTTCACACTAACCAAAAAAAAAAAAAGAATACTGAAAAAAAATTAAACTAACCCTAGAACAAGAATCAAAAGGGAAGAGGTTTTGCTCCTTCAATCATTAGAAATGTCGAAAGTCTATAATGGTGCAAGCTGTGGTTTAAATCCTGCAACTATGAATTATGAAAATACTTTCATATGATGCAATCACTTAGCAACAAAGATAAGATACATGAAAGTTGGGTAGATCCCATTGTGCAGTGAACTAAACCAGATCCCATTGGACGATAACCTAACATTCTTGCAGACCAAAGTAGCAAAGCTCGTGTTAATTTTGAAAAATCAAAATCCCAACAAAACCATGAATTGCCACATAGAACCCATGATTATGTTTACCTTGTCCAAGGTAGACAAGCCATCTGCTGATTTTTATCCAGACACTAAAATCAACCATACCTACTTGAAAATTCATATTTTATAACAAGGTGCCTTGTGCTATATAATAACCCAATGTATAATGTGATAACGTAACCAGGGCAATTGCAATACCAACTCAATTGCAAATAATTCCCTTCAACGAAAAAGTGGGTTATAACTAGAAGACCCTTAAAATTAATCCTAAGATCAAGCAGAGATGAACAAAACTGATTCTTCACTTGAAAGCAATCCATATGTTTTGTCAGTCACCGAATGCAAGCTTAAACAATTATTCAACATAATAAATCAGATTAGTGTTGCAAGTAGGCGAGTTCACGTTCACGCTAATTAATAAAAATATATTCAAATCCTCAAATATTGACTGTAACAACGTGAAAGGTCTCAATAATTCAAAATTGATAATAACCCAATACCCTTTTATCCTAGGCAGTGAGGACAACAGCTCCTCCCGCCTCCTTAATCTTCTTCTCAGCAATCTTAGACACGAGCTTGGCCTTGACGACGACGGGCTTATTCTCAGGCAAAACCCCTTTGCCCAACACCTTGAAGTACCCGAATTGAGTGACGTCAATCAAGGGGGCGTTATCCTTAGAAGCCTTGTCCTTCACTTCTTGAGGAAGCAACGACCAGAGCTTGTCGATGTTGATAGTGGGGCAGTAGAATTTGTTGCGAAGCTTGTGAAAGTATCGCATACCGACTTTGCCGAAATAACCAGGATGGTATTTATCGAAGAGGATTCGGTGGTGATGCATACCTCCGGCGTTACCTCGACCTCCCGGATGCTTCCTGTGCTTCCCGATACGGCCGTGGCCGGCGCTCACATGACCTCTCTTCTTCCTGTTCTTCTTCAATCTCGTCGTCATCTTCCCTGCTCCTCTGCCCTCCCCCCACAACGCTTGGAGCAAATTAGGGTTTTGGTATTTAAATGCGATCTTTTTTAGAAATAAAAGCCCAAAGCCTTTTTGGGCAAGATAAGTAGATAAGCCATTTTCGCACATTAAAGCTCCATAGCCGTTGGGCTCATTAGGCCAGACCCGTTGTACACCAAAATAGGCAGTATGGGCTGAGAAAACTGTGTTTAAAAGAGTGCGTTTTAACTCATGAAAATTGGATCTAATAGAAAAAAGATAATTCCTCTTAATAAATGAACGTAAAATTTTTATTAAAAATTATACTCATATTTAATATGTATTTAATTTTTAATTTGTTAAAAATTTATTTATAAAAATTCATTTAGCCAAATTCAATTTGATAAAAGTCAATTATTGTAACGAAATTTGTGCTTGGATATATTTTTTCAAAAGTCAGTTGATACACTAAAAATTATTTAGATTATGATAGTAAAATATACTTTTAAATATATAATTATTAAAAATAATATTAATTTATAATAATTTTTAATTTTTATTATATAAATGTAATATATTTAAAATACTTAAAAAATATCATAAATATTTTAAATAACATAAAATTTAATCTACAATGCTAAAAACTAGATCTCTAGTTTTTTATACTTTTTTAATTTATAATTTTAAAAAATGTGATGGAGAATTGTAACTTTTATTGTTCATTAGAATGTGATAAAACCAATTTTTAAATTTCTATTAAATGATATTCATATTTAATACTTAATCATGTCTCAAAATAAAATTAAGATGTGACTAATACTAATACTAATAATAATAATAATAATAATAATAATAATAATAAAAAAGAAGGTGTTAGTCCATAGGCTAACTCATGGGCCACATTTTTTTTTAAAGTATCACTTAAATTATATTATATTATTTAAGCTGGATTCTTTCGGTTGCATTCATTTATTCCATCGAAGAAATTTGTTATTTAATATTTGAACAATGTATCTGGTGTTTTTTTCTTCAAACCATGTATGATATATCAAATCAAATCAAATAAAAGAAGGTGTTAGTCCATAGGCTAACTCATGGGCCATATTTTTTTTTTTTAAGTATCACTTAAATTATATTATATTATTTAAGCTGGATTCTTTCGTTTGCATTCATTTATTCCATTGAAGAAATTTGTTATTTAATATTTGAACAATGTATCTGGTGTTTTTTTCTTCAAACCATGTATGATATATCAAATCAAATCAAACTTATTATTTAAATCATGTATCTTGTGCTTATTCATCAAAATGAAATCTTGCAAATTTATATTAGTAATAAAATATTGGGTTTTTAAAATATTGATTTTATTTTATTCTATTTTTGTGAACTGATTTTATTTTCTTTTTAAGAAAGGAGGAAAAAAGAGTTCAAAGAGGAGGAAAAAACGTATTAAACTTTGGCGGGCTGGCAAAATGAGCCTAGACATTATTTTATGTTAGGCAATATATTTCTAGTTCCAAATTTTAGCTTGTATTTTTTGCTCCGCCCTTGTGTTAAGTAATTATTTTATAGAAACTATCTTGATGAAAAATATTTAAAATAACATTATTTATGTAATGTGCAAAAATAAAAATAATAAAAGTTACTCCATCTATTTAAAAATATAAGATATTTTTTTAGAAGTTGGATGATAAAAAATATAAAGTATTTTTAATTTTTTAAAATATAATTATTATTTTTTTTTCAAAAATGCCCATATTAAATAAATCACTTTATATTCTTTTAGGGTATAAATAGAAATAAATATAAAAAGATAGGGTTAGTTTAAAGATAAGTAACTAATTATTTAAGTGAGATTCATTTAAAAATATCTTACATTTTTTAATAAAGGGAGTATTCGTGTTAGACTGTACAAAGTTTCATACAATATTGAATTACTTATGATATTTGTAATTTATGAATGAATATAATTTATACCATTAATTTTACATTATATGTGGATTAATATAGACATATTGATGATGCCTAAGAGATAGGCTAAATGGCAAAAACTTTTTGAAAAAAGCATCTTTCATTAATTGGTTTGATTAAGTTAAGTCGTGCAAATTCAATAAAAATAATTAGGTCATGCGAAAGTACAAAGTAGGAAATTGAACCAAGGAAGCTGATCCAATTTAGTTTGGGGTTCAATCTATCTTGATATAATTATTAACTTTTGAAAAAAATAAAACAGTTATTAGAATCTCTTATTGAATTTAATTGCTTTGAAAAATAAATGGAAACTTCCATACCGGCAAAAGACCTTGGATTCAAAACATGACTATTTTTATGCTCCATTTAAATAAAAAGAAAAGTTGAAAGAAAATAAAACAAGAGGAAAGAAAACTGGAGAAATAATAGGATTGTTTGAAATTATTTTTTTTATTGTTTTGAGAGCTAATATTTTGTAAAACATGTTTTGAAAATAAAAAAATAATAAAAAAACATATATTTTTTGTATTCTCTCTTGTTTTTTAAAACAATAATTTTAAAACACTTAAAAGATGTTTTCATTTTTTTATTGTTCATAATAATATTTATTTTTTTATTTTTTAAAACACTTTCTACAAACATGTTATTAAATATATATTTTTTGTTCTAGAAAATAGAAAATTGTTTTTAAAAATAGATTGTCAAACAAGCCCAGATATCATCATTTTCTATGTTTGGATGGATAGAGGAAAATGTAAAGGATAGAAAATAAGCAAAAACCACCATGAAAATAATACCTTTTGATAAATCATAATTTTTATATATTTTGTCCCACATTTTTCATGTATTTTAATGATAATTTTGGGTTAATTTAGATTTATTAAATAATATTTAGATTAGTAGTTAGTTTTGAGAACAATAAATTTTTGAACGAATTAAGAGAATTTTAGAATTAAATTGTTAATATTTATTTTTAAAATAGTTTAATTTTTTTCAATCTTTAATTGAGCTTAATTTAAATTATCAATATACCTATATCAATTTATTCTCCAATGAACAATGCGTCTCGCGGGTGCTACTTTTTATTTTGCCTGATTGATTTATTTAATTGATTATTGTTTTTTATTTTATTTGATTGATATTTGATTTTTCATCAAATACCCTTATCAAATCTCCAAGTGAACAGAACTTAAACAGCAATTGTCCTTGCGTGCGCCACCTCTTCTTTCTCTGTTGACTTTTGTATGTGATTTTTTATTTGCAGAGGGATAGTGTCGGGGTCGGTTGACAGGCTTTCAATTTTTTAAAAATTTTCCTTTTAGGGTATTAGCGTTTTGCGCCATCATAGGAGAAATTTCAAATTTGAACGTGGGCCTCCGTTAGCTTGCCTCTTTTCGGACACATTTGAGTTGTGGTCGTGTGCAACATCATCATCTTTTGGGCTAATCGTGGGAGGAATACCATGGTTCATTGGTGGCTGTGCGAGGTCTCTTTTATTAAACCATAATTAATTTTAAAATTGAGGAATCTAAGTAAAATTATCAAGTTTGTAGAATTACACAAGTGAAAATAATTCTCAAATCATTTACAATGGGATCCCAAAATTCAACATTTCTAATATTAAACAGACACTTATTATGCTTAGATTATTAAAATAATGCGGAGGTTTGAAAATCATTTAAGGCCCAAAATATTGAGTTTCAAAACTTGAAACTGTTTTTTGAACATAAAACGTGACATGCACCACGGTTAAGTGCAGTTGCGTCGCAGCTTACCCCTCTATGTGCCATGCGCCGCAACATATTGCACGAATATGACAGTTACAACTGTTGTCATTTGACAGTAATAGGAGCAAACTTTCAACTTGTCTCAAATCTTCGTCCAACATTCGATTTGGGTGATTTTGGGTCTATATAGAGCTTTCTTCTAGCTCTAACTAATGACGTAAATATCACATTTAAAATCATTTTCTATAAAAAGTTGGACACTAGAACTCATTTTACCACTTTTTATAAAAATCCTACAACAATGGTGTCTCAATTTAACCACAAGTACCAAAAGCCTATACCGACCCTCTGACCACACTTAATGGATTCTAACGGATTGGTGTAACACACCACACTCAACTAAAGACGCATATAACTCAAAATCACCACTCAACCTCAAATTTTGTAAAACATAAGAGGGAGGAAAACTTTACACAAAACAACTAATTTTATTCCAAATCATTCAAAATACACATGTTCTTACTTACACAGGTATTTTGGCCATAACCAAGGGTTTATAACAAAAACATACTAACTCAGGGCACAAAATATACAAGTTGTAACTACGATTATGTAAGTAGGACAAAAATATCATGAGATTCCTAGTTAGCAAGCAAATCAACATTTATACACATAAACAACAAATTGAGGCATACAAAAAGGATTACTCTATAATCTTATGCCCTGGCATGTTTTCCCTGGTCCTAATCCAATGAGCTAGACCCAAAAAATATTGAGAATTGAGGGGTGAGTACAACTACTCAGTAACTAAGTTTTACCTAATCTATACAGTTGCATGTCAATTGTAAACAGATGCAAATGGACAAAAACACCAATTACAACACATATGATAAACTTAGCCATGATTCACAATACTAACAACCATATGACTGGGCCCATAAATACATATAACCATATTAAATGACAATATACAACACAGGGTCACAATAATACCAACCATGTGCCCCTAACACATACCAGACTATAATAATAACAACCATGTAATCGTATTTAAATGCATGATCAAATGCCAATCTTATACCCTTATGTTACCTCCGACATGAAATTGGTGGCTATCACCTGGCTACATTCTTTACAAACTAACCCAACCTTCTACTTGTAAGGAGCTATCGAGCCAAAATTAACTCACTCACTTGTATAATCTGGTTTCTCCCAATACTAACAACAATGGGTATTGTACCCATAATCTAACCTTCTCATGAACAGGTAGAGACTAGTTAAATTCGAGTCTCTCATAGAATAAGTGGAATAGTCCCAAATCAACTATGGGATAAGGGCTACCTCCTTATCCCAATGGTTGGTGT